CGAGCCGAGTATCTTGAGCCATAACCTTCGAAAAAGCCAGACTCTTGCTTTCTCTGGAATTTCGGTTTAATTTCTGGGTTCACTCCATCTGCTACGTTGCTTTTGGCCCTCCGCCCTAAACACTAAAACCCACCATACCTTGAAAAGAAACAGGTTAATTCTTGTTGGCTTCAGTGTTGTTAGTTTTCTGAATCAGCTGGTTTCTTGAATCCTGGTTTTTCGAATCCGCGTTTCAGTTCCGAATCCGCGTTTTGTAGTTTCCAGAATCAGGGTTTCCAGTTCCGAATCCGCGGCTAACCGATTCCCCAGTCTCCAACCGAAGCTTGTCAGTTGGGAGAAAGGCCGACAAAAAAAATCTGCCTGGACTTGTATTTGGCAGTTCGCAGCCCTTTAACTTCTACCTTTAAGTTTTGCCAGTTGCTGGTCCTTTCTTTTAGTGCTCGCCCAGCAGTTCAAGGCTTCTACCGCGCAGCAGCCGGCATATGGCATTTTGCACTTTCTACTTTGTATCAGACACAATTTTTCGACGATTATTTTCTTGTTGCAGCCAAGGCAGAGAAGACGCACGTAGATCTGATCCAGTCGGATTCTTTGCCCTTTTGGGCTGGGAGACTGCCTCAAAAAAAGATTCTGGATCCGTTACTTGCCTTGGAGGCACAGATTGATCTGTCGGACTGCTGTCTTGGCCTGGTCAAGATTAGCAACACGTTGCCAGGCAACAAGCTGGAACGGCTAATTGATGACATTCTGGCCAGCTCTTCTGTCTTTGGAATCCCACCTTCATGGTGCGAAGCACTCTCTGTGGCAATTTTTTCAAATTTTCCAAAATGCAAGTTTCAGCTTTTCAAGGTTTTTGAAGTTATTTTCAGTGTTTGCAGGCGTTCAAGCTCTCTGCAGTGGTCTTAGCAGGAATTTACCACACGGAATATCTGAAAGCTGCATATTTTTCGAAATTTGAATTTTTGTTTTTCAAAACCATGAAAAAATGTGTTTTTTTTCTTTCGTTGAAAACTTTTTGTTTGATCCATTTTACCTGGCAAGATAGCATAGGAATTCTAAAATGATTTGTTTTTAAACCAACCATTCCACAGAATGCATTCTAGATTTTTTGGACGCCGCGTTTCTTACAATGTTTTTTGAAAATTTTCAAAATTTCAAATTTTGATCCAAACCAAGCCGGTTGGCTTAGTTGCAAAAAGTTAGTGAGGCTCATTTTGTTTTTTCAGATCATTTCGTTCACAATGTTTCTTAAACAAGGAAAAGTTGAAAAAAACATCAATTGATGTTTTAAATTGTGCTCAATCGATTTTGTTTCTGAACTAAAATCGTATTTACACTGCAGACTTAAAAACCAGTGTTTCCTGTTTGTTTTTTTCATTTTTGGAAATTTTGAAAACAATCTTCTTTGACCCAAGGCAACTTTGAAACCAGTGTTTTTCTGGTTTTTAATTTTATATGTTGGAATTACAAAAATAATTTGCTCAACAGGGCATCTTCAATTTGCTCAAGTTTGTTTTGCCTTGCATGTGTCAAGCCAGACAGCTGAAAAACACAGCCAAAGTTTTTTTGAGGTCACGTTTCTTTGCTGGTAGCTTTGTTCAGCCTTTGCAGGTGCAAACAGGAAAAATGCACGTCAAGTCAAGCAGCAGAAAAAAAAATGGGCTGAGTTTGAAGTCTTGGCTTTGACAAGATGGGCTGCGACGACCCAATTACAGACCGCGACGGCGACGCGTGGGTGGTGGTGGCCGTGGACATGAGTCATCACTCAATGACTTATGACTCATGACTATGACGTGACTTATGACTCATAACTTATGACTCCCATGTCTTTGCACTTTCGTTTGATGTTGGTTTGATGGTAGGTGCGCCGTCTCATCCCTCTTTGAATCTCATTGCTCTAGCTTACTGGGGCGCTGTTGCGTCGAAGAAGCAGTGGAGGAAAAAAGATGACTTATGACTTCCACAAAATACATTCTGTTTTTTTTGAACGCCGCGTTTTTTCTAATGTTTTTTAAGATTTTCAATATGTTAAATTTTGATCCAAAGCAAGCCGGTTGGCTCAGTTTCAAAAAGTTGGTATGGATCATCTTGTTCATTTCGTTGACAATGTTTCTCAAACAAGGAAAAATTGAACAAAAATTAATTAACGTTTTTTTTTGATTTTGTTTTTCAGGCAAGTTTGTTCAGAGCGATTTTGTTTCTAAACAAGGCATTCCAAAATTATTATTCATATTGCAGACTTTGAAATGCTTCGAAACCAGTTTTTTTCTGTGTTTTAAATGTTTTTTCATGTTTGAAATTTTAAAAACAATTTGCTTTAAAAAACGTAGCAAAAAAGCATCTCCAATTTGCATCTCAAGTATGGTGTGGCCTGCATGTGTCAAGCCAGGACAGCTGAAAAACACAGACCAAGTTCTTTGAAGTCCTGTTTCATTGCTGGTGGTTTTGTTTCAGCCTTTTCTGCAAACAGGAAAAAATGCACGTCAAGCCAAACAGCAGAAAAGAAAGATGGGCTGAGTTTGAAGTCTTGGCTGGATTCGACGCGAACAAAGCTGAAAGGAAACCAAGGCAGTTTTTCATTGTTCATGACCCGTGTTTGTGGCCGATGGGTTGCGGCGGCCGCAATGACTCACGTGACTGCCGTGACTGTGGCTGTGACTGTGACTGATTCATGGTTCCTGATTCATGATGATCTCATGACTCATGACTCATGACTCGTGGCTCATCATGATCTCATGTCATGAGTCATGACTGAATGAATGATTGATGACTGATGATTGATGATTCATACTTCACAATGCATAATGATTCATGATGCGATGCGATGATGCGATTATGATTGATGCCAATGCCAGGCAATGCGGCGGCAATGCCAGGCCAGGACCGCGTGCCAGCACCAGGACCGCCGGGAAGCCGGACTGCCAAGATGCCAGGGCTCAGGACTCAGGACCTGGCAGGATGATGATGACGACGATGATTGATGATGATGATGATGATGATGATGATGATGATGATGATGATGATGATACAATGACACGATGTGATGATATATGATATGCTATGATCTGATATGATGATGATGATGATGATGATGATGATGATGATGATGATGGTATGATGATGATGATGATGCTGCTGATGATCTTCTGCTGAGGATCTGCTGACGCTGCTGGGCAATATGAGACTCTTGATGAGACTGCCGACAGGTTTGTTAATCTGGCCCTATGGCCCTAGAACACCATGCCGCGCCCGAAATTTCGGCCATACTTAGCTCCGTCGTAGGTAATGGGGCCATGTAATCCATGTGGCCCCCTGATTTGATGCCAAGCAGAGAGTGCTTCGCACCCCCATTTTGCCGTCAGGCAAAAAACCCAAGTCTTCTTGAGGGGGCTTCAGTTCTGCGACAACCAGATCTTTGGAAGGTTGGCATCTCTAAAGCTTCGAATCCTCTCAGGCTACTGTGATCGCAAGGGCCATATTCGCGGCCCTGGCTTGCAACTCGCTGGGTCTCCTCCTTGGCTGGTTTGGCGAAGAGCTCTCCTTGGACACCATGGCTGTCATTAATCCAGATGGGAAGGCCATCTCTGGAACGCTGCAGTCATAAGTCTCCTTCGGCTAGGAAGTTCGTGGAGCGATGCTGATGTGATACTCTTCTTGGACAACGAGGCCTCGCTAGCCTTCTTGATCAACAAAAGATCCGATTCGTTGTTTGTGCAAAGCCTTCTCGGTGCTCTCTCTTTGAGTGAGAATGTGAAACCAGATGCAATGTCTGGTCTGAGCGAGTTTCCAGTCATAGCAATCCAGCCGACGATCCCTCTAGAGGCATCTTTCCGATGCAGTCCGGACTTCGTGCAAGGCTTGACGCCAGGAGCGATCTCGTGGCCCTTCCTAAGGTATTCTTGATTTTTTGTTTTGTACAGTTCTTTATTGCCTTGATTTGGAATTGGATGAGAATCTCTCGTTGTCTTTTATCAATATCACTTGTTTGCGGCTTGCGGAGAAACCCGAAGGAATAAGACGGAACTCCGACCGTAGGTTGAAACTCATTCCCGGGTTTTGAATTTTGGTTTCCCCAAAATTCGCAAACATAAATTGCATGCCTCTCATGATCTCTTTCGGATTCTCTTTGTATGGTGGCCATTTTGGCGCAAGTCTTTGAATTTTTCTTTTCCCACCCTCCACATCCCTGTCTAAAGTCGGTGCCTTCCCGGCTCCGTCCCTTTTGGACTTCCGAAGGGATTCACATATGGAGGGAGGGGCCTAGCCCTCAGCCTGGGGCCTCGCCAACTTGTTCTGCACTTCGTCCGCCGGGGGGGGGCCTCGCCAACTTGTTCTGCACTTCGTCCGCCCATGTGAAAAGAAGAGAACCGAGTGCTGGTGAATTTTTCACTTTCTTATATTCTTGATTTTTTGTTTTGTACAGTTCTTTATTGCCTTGATTTGGAATCGGATGGGAATCTCTCGTTGTCTTTTATCAATATCACTTGTTTGCGGAGAAACCCGAAGGAATAGAGGTCTATTCCAAAGTAGGGAATATGAAGTCGCAGCCTTGTCCTACTTCCTTCATTCGGTTGCACGCGCTCCCGGGAGAATGCCTAGAGTAGGGCTTAGGGCTTAGGGTCCTCCTGGTAAACCTGCTACCGCACCATCATTGAGCTTTGCGTCATATATGCTTTTAGGGTTTAGGGTTTATAGGGTCTAGGGTTTAGGCTTTAGGGTTTGGCTTGGTACTCAGGGACGTCATTCATTGCAGAACTGTTGCCTCCAGTCCTTAGAAGTCTTGCGCGTAGGGTCGAGGTTTAGAGTTGAGGGTGTTGTTGCTTCTGTTTGTGGCCACTTGTCAAGTGAGTTCGTTCTTGCAGAGTTTACGGTTCAGGAGCATAGAAGTAGGAGATGCAATGTGACCTCAGTGTTTTCATTTAGAGCGCACACATATCTCCGGCCATCTTAGTTGACGGCCCTGCTGTCTCACCCAACCTTCCTCCCCATATGCCCGCGCCATGGGAGACGTCTGCAAGACCACCAGCATTTCCTCCCAAACATCACCACTGAGCTCCAGGACCTCCAGCGCTGTTGGAACCCTAAGATCACTGCAGGCGAACATCGCGCCCGAGCTCCTGCGAGGCGTCTCGTTGCACGAATGCCTCAGTGGCTGGGGGAAGCACTGGTCAGCTGGAGGGATGTTCCAGACAAAGCAAGACGACGCCAGTCAAGCATATGGGCTCAGTCGCCAGACCCAGCGCTTTGACAACTTTCTCAGTCACTTGGTAGCCCAGTGGTACCCTTTTCCTTTCTTGTTTCAAGGTTCCCTTGGAAAGTAACCAACCCAAAAAGGGTGCCCTTACTGTAATATAGTTTTTGGGCTACCAAGGTCATGATTGGAGCACTTCCCGGTGGCTGAAGCTTGCGACCCTCTTGGTTGTGTTCAACTCAAGGGCCGCAGCTTTAGCCACTCTGGTCGTGAGCGTGCTGGTGGGCATGCTGCGTGCAGCGGGCTTCCTGCCAGATGAGCCATGGACCGTGGTCATCGGGCATGTCACGTTTCTGCTGTTTTTCAGCTTCTGGCAACGGATGCGCGCCATACTCCGGAAGCCTCGGATGGTTTTCCTGGACAAGCTGTGCATAGCTCAGCATGATGACACTCTCAAGGAGCAGGGCATCTTGGGGCTCGCTGCTTTTCTTGATCGCTCCGAGAAGCTGACCATTCTATGGTCGCCGCGATACTTTCAGCGTCTCTGGTGTGTACCTTGAAAACCCAGTATGAACCTTGTCATTGGGGGTCATCTACCCTAGACTACGACAGTCCCTATCAAGGTTTTAAGGGCCCTGAACGCCAAACCCTAAACCCCAAACCTTCTCGATTTCAATTGGTTTTCAAGGTATATGAGATCAGCACCTTCTTGCGCAGTCGGGACAAATGGAAGCCAATAGAGATCATGCCAGTCAAGCTGGCACTCCTGCTGTGCGTGAACGCTGGAAGCAATGGCTGATATTGGAGAAGTAAACTTCTATGGGCCCTACAGCAACAAATGAATAACCCTTGCAACCCATGGAATGTTTTCTTTATAGGGTTAGGGTTCAGGGTTCAGGTTCTAGGGTTATCTGGTCGAGGAAACTGGTTCGTCATGGCAGCTGCCTATCACTCCATTGCCAATTCTACAGGCGGCGAGCCCAGTGTGAAAAGGACTTTGGCAGTAGCCCAGTGGTACCCCTTTTTTTTGGGTTCTGGTTGCCCTTATAAAAATAACCAACCCAAAAAAGGCCATTTTTTGTTTCTGGTTGCCCTTTAAACATATCCAACCAAAAAAAGGCAAATTTTTGGTTCTGGTTTTTCCTTATAAAAGAGCCAACCCAAAAAAAGGGGTGCCCTTACTGTGATATGGCTCCTGGGCTGCCAGGACTTTGGTAGTGGGAGGCACCTGCGTGTGCCTTGCTGCGTGCATGGTCCCTTGGACATACTATGTCGGCATTGGCATGATGGAACCTCGTCCAGCACATTTGTCACTTCTCGTGTCTTCTTAGGATGTGTCAGTTTGGCTTGGTTTGCCACCACTCCTGCAAAGACAGCACGCCGCGGACTCGCGCAGAACTCAAGACCCTAAACCCTAAACCCTAAACCCTCAACCCTAAACCCTAAACCCTAAAACCGCTTCCACGCTCCTTTTGCAACCTTCAAGCCCACACTCCTGAGGAAGACTTGCACAAGCTGCCGCAGCAGCTTGCAGACTTTCGCATCCAGGATGCCGAGAGCACCTGCTGCGCACACCAGCACATCCACCCGCAGATAGAGCAGGCTCTCAATCCGTAACCTTCAGCACCCGAAGCCATCTAAACCCCAGAGCTTTATCAACCCTAAACTCATCTAACCCCCTATAAACCCTGAACCCTCACTTGAAACTCATCTAACTCCTAAGCCCGAAACCCTAAACCCTAAAGTCGTCCAACCTTGAAGCCTAAACCCCTCAACCCTAAACCCCCTGGTTCTTAACAGGGAATGAGGGAATTGGGGCGCTATATGTACCCTGTCAGGCATGACAGAGGGTACCTCATCCCCTCATTCCCTACTAAGAACCAGCCAGCAACCCTAAACCCTAAACCCTAAACCCTACACCCTAAACCCTAAACCCTAAACCCTAAACCCTAAACCCTCAACCCTAAACCCTAAACCACAGCCCTCAAGCAAGCCATCCCCAGAAGCCCTCACGGTCTGAGGGCTTTCGAGTCCTCAACCTTCAAGCCTGAACGGTTTAGGGTTTAGGGTTTAGGGTTTAGGGTTTAGGGTTTAGGGTTTAGGGTTTAGGGTTTGGGGTTTGGGGTTTGGGGTTTGGGGTTTGGGGTTTGGGGTTTGGGGTTTCGGGTTTCGGGTTTCGGGTTTCGGGTTTCGGGTTTGGGGTTTAAGGTTTAAGGTTTAGGGTTTGGGGTTTGGGGTTAGGGGTTTTGGGTTTTGGGTGTTGGGTTTGCGGTAATATGGCGCAGATGCTGTGAAGGTTAGGATGCAGAAGAGGCTCGAAAGCCTCTTGAGGTGCGAAGAGCAGCTCTGGTCCGATTGTGGAAGGCCATCTAACACCTACCTATTCAGTTTTGTGTTTGGGCTTAAACTCACGTCAATTGCCCGATGGGGCTAGTTCCAAAGGGTCAGAGAGTGCCAGGTAATAGGGGGTTTTGGAAAGGCCTTCCCTAAACCCTAATTCCCAAACCCCAAGCCCCAAACCCTAAAGCCTAAGCCCTATTGCCCGGTTTCGAGAGCTCAAAAAACGCAGAGGCGCTGTGGTGGGCCCGGGACCTCCTGGGCTGGGCTCAAACCGGCCAGACCTTGAGGTTTAGGGTATTTAACCACCCTAAACCCTAAACCCTAAACCCCAAACCCCAAACCCTAAACCCTAAACCCCAAACCCAAACCCCAAACCCTAAACCCTAAACCCTACACCACTACTGGTCCCAAAAGAACCGATGCCAACCATGAACCTCCTGGCTGTGCGGGGCGGGCAAGCGACCTGGGTCGGCTTGCTGGCGGCCCCCTTCGCTTTAGGGCCTAGGCCGTAGGCCCTTGAGTTTAGGGGTTGGGGTTTAGGGTTTAGGGTTAAAGGTTTTACGGTTTAGGGCTTAGGGTCTAGGGTTTAGGGTTTAGGGCGTAGGGTTTCGGGTTCAGGGTCTAGCGCTTAGGGTTTAGGATTTAGGGTTTAGGGGTCTCGGGTTTGGGGTTCGGGTTTGGGTTTCGGGTGTAGGGACCAGCCCCGGAGGCAATTCCCTGCGATCGCAAGCTCGTGCCGCCCGGCGATATCATGGGTTTCCCTCCTTGGAGGTTCAGGGTTCAAGGTTTAGGGTTTAGGGTCTAGGGTCTAGGGTTCCAGTTATTAGTGCTATTACAACCCACTTATAAGCTCGCATTGGTACCCTAATGGGGTTATAATTGGGTTCTGAGTACGTTATGTGTGGGTTACTAGGTACCCTGAACCTCCAGCACCCCCTCTGCACTGCCCCCCTCTCCCACCTTCGGTGCCCCCCTTAAATAACCTTTTTGGGGGAATCCAAAGGGGGGGAGGGGTAGTATAGAGGGGGGTAGTAGAAGAACGAGTTGGAGTTCTCCTGAATATGCTGGAACGCTAAACCCTAAATCCTCAGCCCCAAACCTTGGACCCTTTGGCAGAGTTTGCTCACAAACCCTAAACTCTAGACCTTAAACCCTAAACCCTAAACCCAAAACCCTAAACCCTAAACTCTAAACCCTAAACCCTAAACCCTAGACCCCATAGGCATCCCAGGTTCGATACTTTGCGTCAATGGTTCGGTGATGCGGAAGAGAGTGGCGGCGGCGAGCAGCACCTAGACAACTTCAACAGATTAGTCAGGAAGAGGCTGGCACCAGTGGTGTTGAAGAGTGTGGGTGGAGACAACCTGCCGATTGGATACTTCGGCGCAGCGTAGAAACCCCACACCCTGAACCCTAAACCCTAAACTCTAGGACTCAGGAGGGGTTTAGGGCTTAGGGTTTTGGGGGTGGGTTCTAGGAAGGCAACATTTGACCTTTTTGGGTACGATGAACCCCCGGAATGCCCAAAAGTTTGCCATTTTCCCCTCTGAGATCTCACCTCAACCCTAAACCCTAAACCCTAAACCCTAAACCCTAAACCCTAAACCCTAAACCCTAAACCCTAAACCCTAAGCCCTAAGCCCTAAGCCCTAAGCCCTCAGGATACACTGTATACATGGCTGCCAGCGCCAACATGCCCTTCCTTGCCAGCTTCATCCCATTCTTGGCCAAGGGACCTCCTGTGGACTCTACGATGCCCAGTAGTGCGGTTTAGGGTTTAGGGTTTAGGGTTTAGGGTTTCGGGTTTCGGGGTTCTTATCCCATATAAACCCCTATAAACCAAAATAGGGTGCCCTTTTTTCTCCTAGGTTACTGGGGAACCCAGGACTACACAGCCGGCGACTCGCTGGTTTGGGCCCTACGGATTTTCATTAGCTGGGCGTTCACCTCCCTCTTGGCCGTCTTAACAACTCGCTTGAACCTCTTTCTCTGCAGACACGGGCCCCGGATTTTGCAGTCGTGTCACTCAAGGATCTGCCGGGCGCTTCTGCTATCACAGGCCCAACATTGGGTTTTGGGTTTAGGGTTTAGGGTTGAGGGTTTAAGGTTTAGGGTTTGTAGGCCACAAAATCCCAAACGCTCAAGCTGCGCGATTTTAACTTTCTGCCTGTCACAGGCGGCGGTACTCTTTGTGACCATCTTGTGGGCTGGGTACCGAGTCCCTGCAAGGCGAGTTGACAGCAAGAGCTGGGTACCAATACTACCGTTCCTGCTGACACTGGGCGTCACCGTTGCTGAGCTCTCTTTTGGGCTTAGTGTTTGAAATCTTTGATCTCCCGTACTGCGCATGTAAGGGCCAGGGAACCTGTTTCTACACAACGCGCGTTTTTTCCACACATTCTAAACATGCTTAAGCCCTAAGCCTTAAGCTTTAAGCCCTAAGCCCTCAACCCTGAACCCGAAAACCCCCAAACCAGGTTGCCATCTTTTGGCAAGGACGCCGAGTCGTCAAGCACCAGGAAGTCCCCCCAGAGCGAGGCGAAGCTAGGAGGGGGTTTAGGGTTTAGGGTTTAGGATGTAGGGTTTAGGGTTTCGGGTTTTGGGTTCAGGGTTTTGGGTTTAATTACAGTTCTTGTGACGGGTTCATGTCCGGAGTTTTGGGGGCGAAAGTCTTGGACGGGTTTGGGGGAGAAAGTTTTCTTGCCTTCTGCATGTTTAGAATTTCTGCCGCATATCCCGTGCACCACCTCCATGTTCTTCTTAGGCTACTGCGCAACCCAGGAAGACAGGGCTGCCTTTGAGCCAGAGTCGGAGGGTGTCCCACCGGAGTTGGTGGGAGATGAATCAATGATGACCGCAAGGTTTTAGTCAAGGGTTTAGGGTTTGGGGTTTATAGGGTTTAGGGTTTATAGGGTTTAGGGTGCACCCCAAAAACCCTGAAGCCTAACCCTTCCGTGTGCTTGGGTCTTTTAAGGTTAAGGTCTTGGGATTTTTGTCTCTAAGTCTAAGTTTGCCTTGGGCAGTTCTCCACATTGTCCCCCTTCTTGGTGTACGCTGATGTTTTTTGGAGGCCTCCGTATCACCACGCTGAACCCTGAACCCTAAATCCTAAACCCTTAAAGGGGCTAATCTGGCGAACTGCTCTGGTTCTAGACTTTGCCTTTTCCGCCACAAGGGCACGGAGTGCTTTTCCAATGCATGGGCAGAGGAGTAAGGTGCACAAGTTTGCAGTGTAGAGTGACTTTAGGGTTTAGGGTTCATGTGAGCGTGCAGATTCCGAGCTAACATGTGTATATATATATATATATACATATATATATATATATATATAAATATTCTGGAGGGCTGTTAAGGGCGTGTCGTGGGTGTCATTTTGTTCTTGTCAATGACATCACGATTAACTTTGAAAAAGCAGGGGTATTAAAGGGGGGGGGGGGGGGCAGGGCGGACCAAATAAACTAATCAAAGCAGGGTCACGTTGATGCTGGCTCGCTGCCCGATGCGTGCGTTCATCTTTCCCATGCCAACAGCATGTGGTTTTGTGCTGCCAATGCAGTGCTTGGAGGTTCAGGGTACTTAGTAACCGACAATCATTGTACTTATAACCCACTCAACAGCCCCTTAAGTACCCAAAAGGGGTTACAAATGGTCGATAAGTACAGCTAGTCTATATGTATAGCTCAGGAACCCTGAACCTCGAAGTGGTGTTGTGATGTGCTTCGTGCCGAAGTCGCTCATGAATTTACAGAACGACATTATGGCCCGTTCTCTAGATGATCGTCCATGTTATAGGGTACCCTTAAATATTATACGGGTCGCCCTAGAATAAGGACCCGAAAAGAGAACCTCGAGAAATCACCATATATGAAGTCATAGTGCTACGGTCAGAGATTTGGGCGAAAGCGTGTTCTGGTCCGTGTTGGTCCTAGACCCTAAACCCTGAAACCTGAACCCTAAACCCTAAACCCTAAACCTTACACCCTAAACCCTAAACCCTAAACCCTAAACCCTAAACCCTAAACCCTAAACCCTAAACCCTAAACCCTAAACCCTAACCGCATTGGTCGAGTTGTCGGCTGATCGGCTTAGGGCATAGGGTTTAGGGTTTAGGGTTTAGGGTTTAAGGTTTAGGGTTTAGGGCCCTTTTCCCGTTGTTTAGTTCAAGGTTGCCTTTTAAAGTAACCAACCCCAACAAGAGTGCCCTTAAGGCCATATGGTTACTGGGCTACCGGGGTGCCCCGCAATTTGATTTCGGGTCTAGGGTTTAGAGGGTTGAGGGTTTAGGGTTTAGGGTTTAGGGTTATTGCTGAGGGTTTCTCATTCTTTCTGAACTTGTCGATCAGTCTCACAAAGTAGGGCTGTAAGTCATTCGGGTTTCAGGGTTTGGGGGTTGAGGGCTTAATTAAGAGGTTTTTGGATTAAGGGTTTAGGGTTTTTCAACTTTGGTTCGACGGTTTAGTGTCTGCGGGGGGTTAGTCGTTTGTACCGATTCCACAACAACATGCCGCAAGTTTGTTGGCTCCGACATCCCCCACATCGTCACAATGCCCGCCATGTTCTTTCGCAGCTTGCAAAGTAGTCTCCGGTCCAGGAGTCTGCTTGCATCCCGTCATGGTGCACGTGCGATGCAGCAGCTGGGCTGTGCCAAGGAGGTCCTGAGGTCAGAGGTCCGAGGTCCTTCAAGATGCACGCCAGAAGTAGTGCCAGAATAGCCGCTCTAAACCCTAAACCCCCAACCCCCTAGACCCTGACCCTCCTGTTCTTCCCTTTGTCCTGCTTAAGGACCAGCCAAGACGCTGCCCCTCGCTCGCCCGTGAGCAGCACGTTACCAATGACGCAGTCGCAGTTTGCTTTCCTCTGCGCGGACGCTGCAGCTCCGGGTACCAGCATCTCCAACTGCGCTGTAATGTACATCTTCCAGGATGGGGCTATTATACCCTAGAATCCCTGAAAAGGCCCTTTATAGGGTTCATGATGCTACTATACCCTAGAATCCCTGAAAAGGCCCTTTATAGGGTTCATTATGCTACTATACCCTAAAATCCCTGAAAAGGCCCTTTATAGGGTTCATTATGCTACTATACCCTAGAATCCTTGAAAAGGCCCTTTGTAGGGTTCATTATGGGGATTATAAGGCCTCATGGCTCCTCGGAGGCTTGATAGCAAGCCAAGCAACAAGCCAGTGACTTGAGCTCGTAAGCCCGATGCCGTTGCCTTCCCAGGAGGGGCGATTTAGGCCTTATAAACCCCATCTTTCTTTACCCTAAACCCTAAACCCTAAAGCCCATAATCAACCCCATAAAAGGCCTGTTTAAGGGTACCAGGATGGGCGATTATAAAGGCCCTTATAAGGTTCATGATGGGGATCATAAGGCCTAATAGCCCATGCTGGTCAGGAGGAGGACGTGGACGTCAAGAGTCTTCAGGAGGTTATCCAGGACATTGGCGTCAAGTACTGGAGCAAGCTCCACCTTCACTGCGGTGATGGCGACTTTGCAGCTTTTTGCCCGTGCGTGTGGGGTATAGGGTTATAGGGTTATGGGGTTTAGGGTTTAGGGTTTAGGGTTTAGGGTTTAGGGTTTAGGGTTTAGGGTTTAGGGTTTAGGGTTCATGCTTTGCTTGCACGGTCATGCAGCATTCTTGCCACCATGTCTTTGTAGCCCTTAGCAACATGGTTCTTTCTCGCCACTCCCACAGCTGCGTTTTCTCGCACTGTCTTGCGCGGCGGCCAGGAATCAACAGCGCAGCCCGGGATTTCATGCGGGTGACCTACACGGGTCTCTGCCGCGACGAAGTGCCGCTTCAAGTATTCCCGGACACGTGCGGACTGGAGGTCTCGAAACAAGTGGGCAGCGAGAAGCTCGCGCAAAACCTACCTTTCAAGGTCTCCGGTGAGGAGGCGCGCTTCCTGATGCAGTTTCACAACCAGCCGCCTCCTGGCTGGACAGGCTGCAGCCGTTGATCCGGTTTAGGGTTTAGGATTTAGGGTTTCGGGTTTAGTGTTTAGAAGGGTTAGGGGTTAGGGGTTAGTACCACGCAAGCCACTCACACTGTTTGCTTTCGCCTCTCAGCTGCCAGGTTTGACCTCAAACCGGGTGCAGACCGGATCCCTCGTCGGGTCGCGATCATCCGCTTCGACAGCGGGCGGGTTGGCTTGAAGATGGTGGCCAGCCACATGCTCCTTGGCTCGGCCGCACGCTACAGGTTTAGGGTTTAGGGTTTAGGGTTTCTTCTTCCTCTTCCTATACCCAATGCTTTCTCTTCATCCGTCCCATTTTCTGCCATTGTTGCCCCCGCACTCCCACCCATTCCCCCCCGACCTGGCCATTAATGCCTTCTGTGTCCCTATACCCTAAACCCTAGACCCTAAACCCTAAACCCTAAACCCCATGCTTCAGTTCAGTTGGCCCCCCAAGGCTTGAGGATGGCGGCAGCTACACCGCGCTGCTGAAGCTGAGTCCTGGATCATGTGTAGACCAAAGGGTTTAGCATTTAGGGTTCAGGGTTTAGGGTTTAGGGTTTAGAGTTTAGGGTTTAGGGTTTAAGGTTTAGGGTTTAGGGTTGGAGCCATGGGCCCTTACTTGGAGGTTCAGGGTACTTAGTCACCCAATTATAACTGTACTAAAGCCCAAATGTTAGCCCTGTTAGTGTACTTAAGGGCTTATAAGTGGGTTCTAACTTATGACTACACTTCTAATTGGCTACTAAGTAGCCTGAACCAAGTGTAGATCTAAGGTTGGAGCCATCGGCCCTTACTATGACCCCTTGTCCTTGTTAAAAGTGTTGAACGGGTAACGCAGCAAAAGGGTTGTAGAACAAGGGACCCAAATTAACCCCTACTTGGTTGGAACCCTAGAGTAGAGGCAGCGCTTATGATTTCTTTTAGTGTCTTTTTGGTATCTCAACCCTAAACCCTAAATCCCAAACCCTAAACCCTAACCCCTAAACCCTAAACCCTAAACCTTAAACCCTAAACCCTAAACCCTAAACCCACCAGTGCTGGTGAACTCGCTGAGATGGGGATGACCCAACTGCGAAGAGACCTTAAAACCCCAAACCCTAAACCCCAAACCCTAGACTCTAAACCCTAAGCCCTAAACCCTAAACCCCAAACCTGAAAGCTGCTGTTGTGGGTACCGGGGGTGTATAATGGTGGCGTCTTTTGATTGGCCATCTCGGAACATCTCGGAGGGGAATCTAGACCCAAGGTGCAACGGTTTAATTTCGGGTTTACTTGGAGGTTCAGGAGACTTAGTAACCCAATTGTAACTGTACCGATAACCCCCTTAAGTACCCTAGCAGGATTAGAATTGGGGTACAAGTACGGTTCAAATTAGGTTGCTAAGCACCCTGAACCTCGAAGCGCTGCACCCTGAACAGGGACCGTAACGTCCTGTTTACAGTGGCACTCGATGTTTCAGGGCAGTGGCTTCTCTGTGACATCCTTTCTTGGCTTTCTTCTGGCTGGCTCTTAGGACTTTAACCTTTTGGGTTTCTGCAAAAGCTACAATAAGGATTCTAGAAGTTAAACTTGTAGGAGGGGAAGTCAGAAGTCAGCCAAGCTATGGGTTTCATCAGACCTAGGATTCTGCACTCCTACTATGACCGTGTGGGCCTGGCCGGCGCGCTGCCGACGCCGCAGGCTGTTCCGTATGCATGGGGATGGTCGTCACGCCTCGCCCACCCCCCCCCCCCCCCCCCCCCCCCCCCCCCCCCCCCCCCCCCCCCCCCCCCCCCCCCCCCCCCCCGACCCCCTGGTGGTGGGGTTTTGGGTTGAGGGCTCTAAGGGGTTAGGGGTTTACTGTTTAGGGTTTAGGGGTTTGAGGCTCTAAAGGGTTCAGGGTTTTAGGGCTTTGGGTTTTGGAGATTACTAGGGTTTTACGTGGCGTTAGAGGAGTTTCTTTGAGGATTTAGGTTTTAGGCTTTGGTTTAGGAGCTTTGGAGCTTTAGAGTTTTAGGGCTTTGGGGTGGAGAGGTATTCGTTTCGTTGTTTTTACAGTTTTTTTCGGGGTTGGCCTTGGCTCAAATCTTCTACTCTCTCTGCATTTTAATAAGTTAAGAAAGCCTCTATTTGTTGTTTATATCTCAGCAGGAAAGCCTCTCTTGGCTTTCTACTCTTATAGGCAGACCGCGAGTTTGACTATCAAAATCCTGCTGCTATAGAAGGCGGTAAGAATGAAGTAAGGGCGGAAGGAAGAAGCAAGGAAGCAAGCAAGGAAGGAGGATTTAATTCTTATGTTGTGTGTACTAGATGGGGGGGGCACAAACAGGGACCCTAAATTAGACAATTACCGATTCGATGACACTAGTGCAACTATTTTGCGCTTAGATGTTTACATCGTTACATCATTTACATCTTCGCATCTTTACATGATTGCACGATTACATGGTTACATGATTACATGATTACATGAGTACATAAGTACATGAGTACATGAATACATGAGTACATGATTACATGATTACATGATTACATTATTACATTATTACATTATTACATTATTACATGATTACATTATTACATTATTACATTATTACATCATTACATCATTACATCATTACATCATCATATTATTGCATTATTGCATAATTGCATTATTGCATTATTACATTATTACATTATTACATTATTACATTATCACATTATTACATTATTGCATTATTGCATTATTGCATTATTGCATTACTACATTATTGCATTATTGCATTATTACATTATTGCATTATTGCATTATTAACTTCTTACATTATACATATTACATTATATTAATACATTTAATTATTGCATTATTACCAATTATTACATTATTACATTATTACATTATTACATTATTACATTATTAAATTATTACAATTTATTTGCATTATTATTTATTGTTACATTGATTACATTATTACATTATTTAGACATTACATTATTACATTATTACATTCTTACATTTATTACATTTATTACATTTATTACATTATTACATTATTACATATTATTATTCTTACATTACATTATTACATTCTTACATTCTTACATTCTTACATTATTACATTATTACATTATTACATTATTACATTATTACATTATTACATTATTACATTATTACATTATTGTATTACATTATTACATTATTACAGTATTACATTATTACATTATTACATTATTACATTATTACATTATTACATTATTACATTATTACATTATTACATTATTACATTATTACATTATTACATTATTACATTATTACATTATTACATTATTACATCATTACATCATTACATCATCATATTATTGCATTATTGCATAATTGCATTATTGCATTATTACATTGTTACATGTTCGTATTTTTACATGATTGCATTCTTACAGGTTATTAGATGATGTTCGTGTTCGGTTCGCACGGTTCTAGATTGAAGTTATTTTTGATGAACCCAATCTTAAACCCTTAAACCAGGAAACGGCCCGAACAGCATGTCAACCTGTGACAATAAAACTAGGAACTCAACCCTTAAAAGGGCCACCATTTTGCATATATTTGGGGGTTGAGGTAAGCCCTAAGCCTTGCCCTGCCCCCCCCCCCCCCCCCCCCCCCCCCCCCCCCCCCGCCCCCACCTGACTTGACATCGGGTACTGTAGCTTATTCTCGAGCATGGTCTTTTGGGCGGGCGGGCCCGTGTGCCCGTGGGACCGTGGGGCCGTGGGCCCGTGGGCCCGTGGGCCCGTGAGCCCGTGAGCCCGTGCACGGGCTTGGACCTTGCCAAAACAAGACCTTGAAACGCTAAGTCTTGAAACAAAGCCCTAACCCCCTTTGAAATACTAAGCAAAGAATCCCAAAGCCTAACCCTGAAGCCTGCACTCTTAAAAGCCTAAAACCTCAACTCTACTCCGAAGAATGTGAGCCTCTGGCATGTGGCAATGCAATACTATTACAAGCTCTGGCATCATCGCGTGTAGATGGAACATGTCAAGCTTGCGTTTTCTAAGCTGCGGGGGTTAAGGACAAGGCGTTGGAAGATCTACTTGATCCGAAGCAAACGCAAAACCCAAGGTCTTGAAGCCTTGTTCTGAAAACCTAAGCCCTACTCAAACCAAGATCCTGAAACCTATAGCCACTAAACCTTAACCCTCAAACTTCAACCCTAAAACCCTAACCCTGCAAATCCTAAAGTCCCCAAGCCCCTACTTCGCAAAGCTTCTTTAAAGCTCTAATCACCGCAGTCGCTAGCCAAAAACCCACCTCTCCCTTGAAATACTAAATCTTGAACAAAGCCCTAACCCCCTTGAAATACTAAGTCGTGAAATCCAAAGAATCCTAAAGCCTAACCTGAAGCATGCAATCTTAAAAGCCTAAAACCTCAACTCTACTCCTTATAAGAATGTGAGCCTCTGGTATGTGGCCATGCAATACTATTACAAGCTCTGGCATCATCGCGCGTAAATGGAACATGTCAGGCTTGCGTTTCCTAAGCTGCGGGGGTTAAGGACAAGGCGTTGGAAGATTTACTTGATCCGCAGCAAACGCAAAGCCCAAGGTCTTGAAGCCTTGTTCTGAAAACCTAAGCCCTATTCAAGCCAAGATCCTGAAACCCAAGCTCCTGGAGCCTTAGAGCCTTATAAACCCGCAACCCCGGGCGCTTTGACTGACTGCGGCAGTTTTGTTTGTATGAGCCATGATGTGGACATGCGTCCGAGCCCATGCTACATCCGACGCCATAGCAGTCCCACGGTGTCTCCCGGACCTGTAAACCTTTCATCCTAAACCCTATAGCCCTCATCCCCGAACCCGAAAGACCTTCTTTAAAGCTGTAATCACCGCAACAGCACCGATTTTCTCCCCAAACCCGAACGCTTTCTAAGTTTGGGTATGGGTTTCAGGCGTTCTCGAGAAGGTTTTTTGCGAAGTTGACGTGGCTTGTAGTCTCGTGCCTTCTCAAGCGACCTTTGTGACAATTTGAGAGTGGTAGACGACAAGGTGGGGAGCGGGATTAAACCGGCAGCAAAGATTTTGGTGGTCAGGATAGCGTAGAGCGATAGGCAGAAGTTATACTTGATAGTAACGACATTATAAGCCTGGGCCGTGGGCCCGTGGGCCCGTTGATCTTCTTTAAAGAGGCCTGCCCGTGGAACAGGGTATTCTCGCTTAGGGATACTTGGAAAAACATTCTTGGGTAATTCAATTCCTAAGAAACAGCTAAGATTATAGTTTTGGCTAGGGATCCAAGTAAAGGTAGGGAACGTTTTCTTGTAGATTGCGATGATTGGCACCTCGCCCCCAGCCAGGCTTCTGAAACTCCCACATGCTTGAATGTCTTAAACCCCGAAGCCTTAAAGCCCCTCCCCCGCCCCCTGCTACGAAACGCCAGATCAACATTTGGGGGTTCCGGGTTTAGGGAACGCTAAATCAAGTTCATAAGTCATAACAGGATGGGCGATTAGGCAATTGTAATCTCTATAATGAAGCCCATAGGGGACTATAGGGTATAATAGCCCATCCTGGTACCCACACATGATGTTTCAAGCAGAATGCAAACGCAAGTTCGAGTCCGGCAGCAGCTGCACAAGTTGGACCAGGTCTTCACGGCATGTCTCATGCATGTCTCCACGTGGCTGTGCAGGAGATGCTGCCATATGCCGTGTACGTTGAGCACGAGGCCCAATACTTGAGGCCTGGGGATCAGCAGAACAACCAGCGCCGGCAGAGTGTGTGGTTGTGTGCGTGCGTGCTCGCACGTGTGTATCTGCGTGTGCGTGTGCGTGTGCGTGTGCGTGTGGGTGTGGGTGTGGGTGTGGGTGTGTGTGGGTGTGTGTGTGTGTGTGTGTGTGTGTGTGTGTGTGTGTGTGTGTGTGTGTGTGTGTGTGTGTGTGTGTGTGTGTGTGTCATGTGTGTGTGTGTGTGTGTGTGTGCGCGTGCGCAAGTGTGGTCAAGCGTGCAAGTGTACAAACGTGTGTGTACAAGTGTGTGTACGTGTGTCTACGTGTGTGTGTACATGTGTGTACGTGCGTGTACAGGTGTGTACGTGTGTGTACATGTGTGTACGCTTGTGTACGGTGTGTGCGCGTGTGTACATGTGTGTACTACGCGTGTGTACGTGTGTGTACTTTTGTACGTGTGTGTGTGTGTGTGCACTCGTGCTCACGCCGCCGGGCGTATGTGTTGGGCGTTGCCAGGTCCACACAGTACCGCACCGACAGGAGACTCGCTTGTGGGGTCCGGGATGCTCCGGGAATTCCGAAGAGCACCCAGCCCCCTGGCCCCTAAACCCTAAACCGCTAACCCCGAAGTATAGGCTACGCCCGAAGCCTTTTTTCCGACCAAAAATCGGAGGAGCTATTGGGAGAAGAAGCTGGAGGGAATCCTGCCAGTGAGAACCGACCTCTTCGGAGGGGTCTACCAAGGAACTTTGGCTCAGGTCGGGGCCTTGGGTTTAGGGTTTAGGGGTTAGGGTTTAGGGTTTAGGCTTTAGGCTTTAGGGTTAAAGGGTTAAAGGGTTAAAGGGTTAAAGGGTTAAAGGGTTAAAGGGTTAAAGGGTTAAAGGGTTAAAGGGTTAAAGGGTTAAAGGGTTAAAGGGTTACTTGGAGGTTCGACCTACTTCGTAACCCATACTTTTAACCCAATTAAGACCATATTAGGGCACTTAAGGGCTTATAGGTAGGTTATAACTACACTTATAATTGGTTACTCAGTACGAAGTACCCTGAACCTCCAAGTAGGGTTTGGAAGTCACTTTCACGAACCTGTCGTGGCAGCGGACAGTGGTGGCTGTTTTTGCCCAGGGCGAGTTTGCCCAAATGACCCAAATTGATGCATCTTTCAGGATGTGAGAAGTAAGTGTTGGTGGCAGTTGTTGTGGGGTTGATCTTTCCGAAACTCTAAACTCTAAACTCTAAACCCTAAACTCTAAACCCTAAACTTTCAACCCATAGCAGGACGTGGGCAAGTTCGAGGCGGAATCGTACAACTTGTCGCTTCCGAGCAGCGCGAACTGCTTTGAGTTGGCACGGTGCCTCGGCACTGTCAGACCGTCACATCTTCACAGCGCGCACACCCTAAACCCCTAAACTAAACCCCTAAACCCTAAACCCTAAACCCTAAACCCTAAGCCCTAAGCCCTAAGCCCTAAACCTTAAACCCTAAACCCTAAACCCTAAACCCTAAACCCTAAACCCTAAACCCTAAACCCTAATTAAACCCTAAACCCTAAACCCTCCGGAAGGAAGTATGGCCTCGAGCACGGCGCTTCGCAATTCCAGGTTCTCCTGGCTGCATACTATTGGGCTTTGCACGTCGCGACGGGCAAAAGCGACCTGGTAGTGTCCACATCGTTTCATGGCCGGGCAACTTCGGGAGAATTGGGAAAGTTGTTGTTAATTTTTGGGCTCAAGGTTCAGGGTTTAGGGTTTAGGGTTTAGGGTTTAGGGTTTAGGGTCATTCTTGAGAAGCAGCTAGAAGAGCATAATTTCTAGGGTTCCAAGTTCGGTAGAGGTCACTCCTGACTTGAAGCGCGTGAACGGCAACTGCGTCAACCTGCTGCCACTACGCCAAGAAGTATCTTAGCTGGTTTAGGGTTTAGGGGGTTTAGGGGGTTTAGGGGGTTTAGGGGGTTTAGGGGGTTTAGGGGGTTTAGGGGGTTTAGGGGGTTTAGGGGGTTTAGGGGGTTTAGGGGGTTTAGGGGGTTTAGGGGGTTTAGGGGGTTTAGGGGGTTAGGGGTTTAGGGGGTTTAGGGGGTTTAGGGGGTTTAGGGGGTTTAGGGGGTTTAGGGGGTTTAGGGGGTTTAGGGGGTTTAGGGGGTTTAGGGGGTTTATGGGGCTGTGAACGAAGCAAACTGTTTGTGCTGATGTCTTTTTGTATTAGCGGGGGCCGTGCACGTATGTCTCAGAAGCTGAGTGAGTGCACTTTACGCTTTTTTGGGATACTGTAACCCCCCATAAAGCTGAAAGTGTACACTTTTTTGGGGGCTTATGAACTCACCCTAAACCCTAAACCCTAAACCCTAATCCCTAAACCCTAAACCCCCTAAAACCCCTAAACCCCCTAAACCCCCTAAACCCCTTAAACCCCCTAAACCCCCCTAAACCCCCCTAAACCCCCCTAAACCCCCCTAAACCCCCTAAACCCTAAACCAACTAAGATGTAGAGTTGGCCCCAGATCCACCCCAGGTTGTTGCCGACATGACATTTGCGCAGCTGGTGGAACAAGTGCCCGTATCCTCCTTGGGGAATTATTTTGTATTTTTGTTCATATATAACCCAAGAGGATATTTAAAATAATGTTTTTATTAAGGTTCTAAGGGGAGTATAGGTGCGTGCCAATGTTCGAACCTCCAAGAGGCACGGGCAGTTTCCATTTGCAGAACCTTGGTCTAGGACCGGGAGTAGGCCCTTTTTTCCTTTTCTTAGGGTTGGGGTTCCCTTATAATCCCCTTAAAACCAAGAAGGGTACCCTTTTATTCCTAGATACTCCCGGGTCTAGTAGTGGCTGAGTGTTACACTTTTCGGGATACTATGATCCCCTTATAGAACTGAACGTTTACACTTTTCTTGGGGCTTATGAAGTCAGCAGCTAAGGAACTGCAAAGCAAGCAGGCGGCCTTTGAATACATGTTTTCATGCTACGATGCACGGCACGTTTCAGAGCCGGCTTTTCCTTGTCGTCCAATGTCAACTGCCCATACCAGGATGGGCTATCAGGCCCTGGAATCCGCATAAACCCTAAACCCCAAACCCCAAACCCTAAACCCTAAACCCTAAACCCTAAACCCTAAACCTTAAACCCCAAACCCCAACCCCAAACCCCAAACCCCAAACCCTAAACCCTAAACCCTAAACCCTAAACCCTATCAAAACTATAGGGTATAGTGGTTAGCCCCTGCTGGTTAGGACCTTGACAACATGATGTCCATGGACCACGACACGGTGGTCAACCCTTGCACCGTCCGCGTGATCACGGGCAAAGAGACCACCGAGGCGTGGCGCTTTCCCCACGGTTTAGGGTTTAGGGCTTAGGGTTGAGGGTTTAGGGTTCAGGGTTCAGGGTTCAGGGGGTCTCTTTCAGTTCCGCAGCTGCGAAACCCCGGCGAAGACGTCAGCCTGCGCGCTCATGGTCGCTCGTCTTTGAGCAGCCTTGTTTGCCCTCAGGTCTATGTGGCGTACCAAAAGAAAGTTCTCAGCGCTGACTCCATGAAAGCACTGGTGCAGCTCTGGTTGCAGGCGAATCCAAGTGTGGAGGGAGTTTACCAGGATGGGCTCTTATACCCTCCAACCCCTTCGAAAGGCCCTTTACTGGGTGTTGGAGTACTACATATTCTTTAGTACTTGTTCTTGGTTCTGGTTTCCTATTCTGGCCACTTATACCGAAAAGTGTATGCTTTTGTTTTCCAAGGTCCACTCCAAAGTAGAGTTTATAGGTTTCATTATGGGGATTTCAGGACTAATAACCCATTCTGGTAGTTCTCCTGAAGTGATTGTTGAGAGACATGCAATGCCAGATGAGCTCAGGACACTGTGTGCTTCAGGGCGGGGGTTGAGGGTTTAGGGGTTTAGGGGTTTAGGGGTTTAGGGGTTTAGGGGTTTAGGGGTTTAGGGGTTTAGGCGTTTAGGGGTTTAGGGGTTTTGGGATTTAGGGATTTAGGGGTTTAGGGGTTTCGGGGTTTCGGGGTTTCGGGGTTTCGGGGTTTCGGGGCAGAACTTTGGCGCATCGACAGGTCCTAGAGCAAGCCGTGAGCAATCCTTCGAAGACGCTCAGCATGCTCGACCTCCTCACGGCAGAGCAGAAGCAGGTTCTGGTGTATTTGATCTCTCCCAAGAACCCCCTCCCCTGGGGGGTTTGCTACAAGGGGGAAGGGGGGAAACTTCGGCTTCTAGCGCGCGTCGCATCGACAGTCTCTGCGCGCTCGTGATCCTATGTAGTTGCCCAATTGGCCGCAAGTCTATCAAAATAGGTTGTTAGGCCTCGTAATCCCCATACTGAACCCCATAAAGGGCCTTTGGGGTATAACAGCCCATCCTGGTTGTCCGGGTTCAGAGGGAGACCGCTGGGCACTGTCTACTTGGAGGTTCAGGCTACTTAGTAACCAATTAGAACTGTACTTAAAACCCACTTAGAAGCCCCTTAAGTACCCTAGTAGGGTTATAATTGGGTTATACGTACAGTTATACTTGGGTTACTAAGCACCCTGAACCTCCAAGTAGTTGTTGAACGTGCTGTTCTAGGACCCGGAGTAGGCCCTCATTTCCTTTTTTGGGGTTGGGGTTCCCTTATAATCCCCTTAAAACCAAAAAGACCGTTTTATTCCTAGGCCAGATGCAAGCGGGCAAACCCTAAACCCTAAACCCTAAACCCCTAGACCCCTAGACCCCTAAACCCCTAAACCCCTAAACCTCTAAACCCCTAAACCCTTAAACCCCTAAACCCCTCAACCCCTCAACCCCTAAACCTCTCAACCCTAAACCCCCAAACTCCTAATCCCCTAAACCCCTAAACCCCGAAACCCCTAAACCCTAAACCCTAAACCCTAGACCCTAAACCAAAACATCCCTCATTACTGCGAGGCTATCCTGCGGCAGTCCTGCGGTCCCGTGCTGTCGCCGCTGGATCAGCGGTACGATCGGCTCTTCGACGTCGGCTTGCTGCAGGACTTAAAGAAGCGCCTTAACTAAGTAAAGCCAAAACCCTAATGCCAAAACCCTAAACCCTAAACCCCTACACCCTACACCCTAAACCCTAAACCCTAAACCTGAACCTATTGAATTAGAACTGGGGTATAGCTGTCTTTGGCTTTGCGTGGGGTTTGACGCTTAGGTGCTGAAGGCCGTAGGGTTTACGGTTTGGGGTTTGGGGTTTAGGGTTTAGGGTTTGGGGGGTTTAGGGTTTGGGGTTTGGTCTCCCCTGAGAACCCGCAAGTTCTTCTCCAGGACGGATTGTCGAGGCCGGCAGACGACAAGCTTGCTGTGCGCTGTGGGGACGAATCCTGGACAGCACGGCTGCGCACGCGCGCCCGCGTGCATGTGCGCAAGAGTGTGTGCCCCTGCACGTGTGCGGTGTGTGTGTGTGTGTGATGCTTATGAATTCTGAAAGGTTCTTAGCATGCGTCATACATATATTTTCACGCACACAATCGCAGTAACTTGCACTCATCCGTGGACATGTCCATTTGTCCATACGCGCGCTCAGAGATCGTCAGAGACCGACGGTTGCCGCATTTTGCCGCAAATCGCGGTCCTTATTTTGTTCGTCGGCTGAAAGCTGCATCTCCTGAGAAATGAGACAAACAGAAGCAGAACCCTGTCCCGCATCCTAGGAGTCCCTGACCTATGGAGACCTGCGCAGCCTTTCTGACAGCTTGGCATGCGTTCTGCGGCACCACGACAGCAAGATCGTCGCGGTCCACATGCCAAAGAAGTGTCTCGCTTTCAAGAAGCGGTCTAGAATGTTTTAAGCAGTGTACGTAAGACGGTTAAGATCAGTTCCACCTCAGCCATTCCCCCGCCTCCACCCAAGTTCCCCTCCTTTGGCGATGGGAGTTCCAGGATGGGCTATTAGACCCTATAATCCCTTAAAGGCCCTTTACAAGGGTTCACTATGGGGATTTTAAGGCCTGATAGCCCATCCTGGTTGGGCGAGTTGTGGTGGAGGGCTGGGATGACAGCCCTAAACCCTAAACCCTAAACCCTCAACCCTAAACCTTCAACCCTCAACCCTCAACCCTAAACTCTAAACCCTAAACCCTAAACCTTAAACCTTAACAGGAGTGCCTTCATGATACCCTTGCTGCTGGGCGTGCTGAAGGCCTGCGGTCTGAAAGGTCCTATACCCAAAAAGCCCAATACCCCTTGATTACAGAATGTACTAGCACCTTAAATCATATTAAGGATCCCTATATAGACTTAAAGCATATTCCTTACTTAAGGGGTATTGGGATCTCTGGGAAATATTCTTATGAGTGTTTGCGAACGTCTGCAATCAGACCGCTCGGGACATGCGAACCCTAAACCCTAAACCCTAAACCCCTAGACCCCCAAACCCCTAAACCCCTAAACCCCTAAACCCCTCAACCCGAAACTCCTAAACCCTAAACCCCCTAAACCCTAAACCCCTAAACCCCTAGACCCCCAAACCCCTAAACCCCTAAACCCCTAAAACCCTAGACCCCCTAAACCCTAAACCCTAAACCCTAAACCCTAAACCCTAAACCCTAAACCCTAAACCCCCTAAACCCTAAACCCCCCCCTAAACCCTAAACCCCCTAAACCCTAAACCCTAAACCCCCCTAAACCCTAAACCCTAAACCCTAAACCCTAAACCCTAAACCCTAAACCCTAAACCCTAAACCCCCTA